TCCCAATATATGTTGAGATGATGTTATGACCAAATAAATAAATTTGCTCCTTCAACTAACTCCCGACGTTTTCAAGTAATGATATCGTAAATTTTCTTGTTGCTATTGGCAGTGCTAAGTGCACTGAAAATGATTCTCCAACATATTAATTAACAACAAGAACTACAAAAACTTATCCCACTAGATGAGATGAGGTTCGCTACATGAATTAATTAAAGGAGGCAACACAACTCCATGAAAGCCGCAAAACAAGACTAATTAATGAATGTAGTTAACAAGCGTAGCCATATAGACATGGAGCTCAACTTCTCTACCCCCCTTGATACAATATGTTTGTTGAAGCCAATGTTCTCATAAAGTTTCCCAAGGTTTCCTACAGAAATATGTTATACAATCAAATTAATATATTACGTACAAAGTCCAAATTAGACTACATACGTATACATTATGAATTATGATGAGATAACGCTCAAAAATATTCTATTTCACTTTGAAAGTAAAAGTCTTCAAACTTAATAAGGAGAAGCTATTTATCAGACTGGAAGTTCAGTTGAGAGCAATGTGTCTAGGCATGGCAACCGGGCGAGGCGGGGCTGGATTTTATGTTCCTCGCCCTCGTCCCTGTAGATTTAAATTGCCCTCGCCCCCGCCCTCGATACTCGTTAGGGGTAAAATCTGGATATTCACCCCTGTTCTTGGCAGGATTCGGGTTTCCCCGCCCCTGCCCTCGCTCTTACCTTCTTTTTTTTAATATTTTATTTCTAATAAATATGAAAAAATTAAAAAAATAAAAGAAAAGTAAGATAATACAAATTTTTACATATTAGTATTTCTAATTTTGGTTTATATATATATATAAATATTTTTTTTAATTATATTATTAAGCGGGACGGGGACGGGGATGTCAATACCCGCCTCGTCCCCACCCCTGTCCTCGATTTTATCAATTGGAAAAACTCAAACTCAATAAACACGAGTTTTCCCTATCCAACTCGAGGTGGGTTCAGATGAGTTAAATTGTCATGCTTAAATGTGTCAAATTGCCTCTATTTGTCCCCTCACTATGCTCTCTCGGCTTACACATATATGAAGTCTAAGAAATTAACAAAGTAAAATTTAACAAGGAATCACGTCAAATGAATCATTGTGGATTGCTGATCAGACCATGCCATCAACCAATACCTATATACATATCAAAACTAGTAGAAATATGAAGTATCAATAAGAAGGAAAACTCAACCGCATAATGAGATAAAAAAAAAAAAAAAATAGATAGAAGTGTTGAATTGTGGAGTGCGGACCAAATAGAAGAGTGTGAAGTTTGGGAAGTGTCATTAATTATATTAGACTCATCAACTTCCACCTTAAATTTTCTAAAAACTTGTATAGTCTACCGCATTCTCCTTGAGATACTATCTTAAAGGCTAAAATAGTTTTAATCCTTTACTTTTATTTTTTTTTAATTTTTTTTTATGGTGATCCATATGAAGATCATTCAATGAATTAGGAGACTAACATTCAATATAATAATAACCTACCTCATCTAATACATAGGAGGGGTTATACATTTGTGCCTCGGTATATTAAAACTTGACTTTTTATAGATATTTTTCAAAGTATTGGCAAAAAATTTTGAAAATCATTTGATACTTCATTTTATTAATTCAAATCAATGTATAAAATAATTTTATGATTATCCATCAATTTGAATTAATGAAATAAAGTATTAGATGATTTTTAAATTTTTTAACAATTTACATACTTGATTTATACATTAAAAACTTTAAATTCAACAGCTGAATCGTTAAAATTTGATGTATAACATGAATTATTGAATGAAATAAGTTTAGGTAAACTTACTCCTGGAGTAAATGGATCTCTCCTCTCTCTATATATATAATCATGATATTAAATTATTGGAATTTTTTCTTGGCCAAGTTATAAGATAATAATTGACATAATGGTTCGTATATATTTGATCAAAATGATATTTAATTGGTTTTGAGTTAGGAGGGTATATAACCTTCGAACTTTGACCACACTAGTGTAAAGAAATTCATGCAATATCAACAAACTCAACTTGTCTTAATTAGTTTATTAAATTTTATGAGTACTTAATCTCAAGATTTAAGTACGTAATTACAGGGAGATTCATGTAATCAACTAACTCAATTTGTTTTAGTCAACTTTAAACTAAGCGTATAAGTTTTATAAATTTTAAAAGTTTAATCATGGCCTATTAAAGTTTTTATTCAGTCAAATTAGTCTTTTCAATTAATTTTTTGTATTAACAATGTTAATTTTAATTGAAATGATATCTCTTATATTTTGTCACAAGCTACTAGATTGATCAAATTAATCTAATTAATTGAGAAAAACATTGAGGTTAAAAAAAACACTTTGACTAAAATAAAAAAATAATTAAACTTTGAGATCTGAATACAAAAAATAATGTTGAAGGACAAAATTTTTATGTTAGTCTATGTAAAATTTTGGACAACTCAAATGTTTCATCTATTAATATTGAAGTGTTTCTATTGGTTGGTAAAAGGTTGACTAAGCCTAATTCATTAAACGAATAATGTTGGCTAAGATTTGATTTATCTTTTACTATATTATTAATTGTTAACTAGTTTTTTTTAAGGAGTATATGTTTTCTTTTCACTTTGTGGTACTTTCAATTACAAAATTTTATGTTTAAGACATACATGAAACTTTAATCTTTAGTTAAATAACACAATTTTCAAATTACTTGAAAATTAAATAAATTTATTTTGAGGAAAAAGAGAAGGTTAGAAGAGAAGGAAAATGGGTTGGGTTGACCCAGCCCAATGGATTAATTTTAAGAAATGAGTCAGGTAGCGTTAACCCTATCTGCCTCATTTGCGTTCTGAAGGGTTAGGAAAAAAAAAGAGGAGAAACAAGGTACTCTAAGGAAGAGTACTCAGGAAAGATCTTAGATCACATAAAGACCATTCGTCTTCTGCTCATCCAGGCAAGGGGGGAGTGAGAAACCTCGCTTTGGGTGTGGGAATATCTGTTGGGTAGTGGGATTGACCCCCAATCCTGTGTTTGTTGTATTTTTTTGTATGCTCGTGTATGAGGGATTTTCCTCAATTGTATCTGTTTCGCCTATTATTTTCTTATATGTAATTAATTTTATTGTTCTAAATGTTTATTTTATGAATTAGAGTGCTCTGTGAGTTCCTGTGGGAACCCTATGAGAAACAGACAAAATATGAATGTTTTCTATTTTTCTTTCCGATTGTTATGATGTATTCCTTGTTGAATGAGATGAATGAATAAGTGTTTAATTTCGCAAATAGATGAGTTTTAATATGTATTAAAGTGTTTTGTGAGAATTGTGCATATAAGGTGGTAATGTGATAATGTGATAATGATGATAAGATAAAATGATGAAATATGATGATGAAATGTGTAATATCCTAATGTTTTTAGATAACAATATTTTCAACATTATTATTAAGTGTATTGAAATTTTTAGTTATGATCTCCTGGAGTAAATGGATCTCTCCTCTCTCTATATATATAATCATGATATTAAATTATTGGAATTTTTTCTTGGCCAAGTTATAAGATAATAATTGACATAATGGTTCGTATATATTTGATCAAAATGATATTTAATTGGTTTTGAGTTAGGAGGGTATATAACCTTCGAACTTTGACCACACTAGTGTAAAGAAATTCATGCAATATCAACAAACTCAACTTGTCTTAATTAGTTTATTAAATTTTATGAGTACTTAATCTCAAGATTTAAGTACGTAATTACAGGGAGATTCATGTAATCAACTAACTCAATTTGTTTTAGTCAACTTTAAACTAAGCGTATAAGTTTTATAAATTTTAAAAGTTTAATCATGGCCTATTAAAGTTTTTATTCAGTCAAATTAGTCTTTTCAATTAATTTTTTGTATTAACAATGTTAATTTTAATTGAAATGATATCTCTTATATTTTGTCACAAGCTACTAGATTGATCAAATTAATCTAATTAATTGAGAAAAACATTGAGGTTAAAAAAAACACTTTGACTAAAATAAAAAAATAATTAAACTTTGAGATCTGAATACAAAAAATAATGTTGAAGGACAAAATTTTTATGTTAGTCTATGTAAAATTTTGGACAACTCAAATGTTTCATCTATTAATATTGAAGTGTTTCTATTGGTTGGTAAAAGGTTGACTAAGCCTAATTCATTAAACGAATAATGTTGGCTAAGATTTGATTTATCTTTTACTATATTATTAATTGTTAACTAGTTTTTTTTAAGGAGTATATGTTTTCTTTTCACTTTGTGGTACTTTCAATTACAAAATTTTATGTTTAAGACATACATGAAACTTTAATCTTTAGTTAAATAACACAATTTTCAAATTACTTGAAAATTAAATAAAATCGTAGTGCATTTAAAACTTATCTTAATTGCGAGGTCTTTAGGCATTAGAACTAGTAAAATCAAATTAGTTTATTCATATTCGTGAAGTATCTGGATCTGAAAACTCCATTTGTTCTCGCATCGGCTTTTACGTGAAAGTACGTGTCCTCTGTTCTCGCACATTTTCAACGCGGGAGATTGCGGTTGTGGTTGAATTGGATGAAGATGAACACTCCGATACGGCACAACACCTTTTTTTTTTTTTACATATTATTTTTGTCTTAAATATTTTTTTTTTGACTAAATTTTAAAAATTAAAAATATATTTAAATTTATTACTTTTTAACAACATTTTAATACCTTAATTATTTCATTATTAAAATACACTAATTTTCTCTGTCATTCTCATTCTCATTCACTTATAAATTACCATATAGTAATAATTAAAAATTATTTTAAAATCATATTTAAGCCGATTTTTAATTAAGTAATCTACTATATCAGTATATAAAAATTAAAGTAAAGAAAAAGAAAGAAAAAAAAGAACCAATCCAAAAATTAGAAGAGTGTGTTGATCTGGCACGTAAGAGATGACATGTATTGGTAGTTTCACACAGACGCACAGCGTCTATGTAGCAGCAGGCAAAGGTTGATGCCCCAAACACAACAAACTCAACCAATTCAAATTCACAGCATTCGACACATCCACAAACACAATCCTCGGACCCTCTGTCATGGCTGCTGCTACTTCTCTTTGTTGTGTCCTCCCCGTGCTCACACCAAACCTTTCCAAGCCCCTCTTGCCTCCCCTCTCTTCCCGACCCCAAAAACGGCGTCGTTTCATCACCTCCGTCGCTGAGGATCGAGAAATAGTTCCCGTGTCCCAAGACAGAGGAACCCGTCTTCGTGAAGGTGAGGGGTTTCATCCTTCCCAGCCCCACACAGAGTCAGAGCTTCCTCCTCGCCTCACCAGCAGTAGCACCGTCAATGCCATCATCGTTTTGGGATTTGGGACTTTTGCTGTCACCAAATTGCTCACCATTGACCATGACTATTGGCATGTCAGTATCTTCTATTTCAATATTAACATTGCCTCTTCTTTATTATTCTTATATCTAGAGCAAGGTTGTCCCTGTAATATATCTCAAACAGTTAAGGATTGTTAGTTACTATAGTATAGACTACGGAGAAAGAAAGGCTATGTAATTTGGATAAATTTCTTGATAACCACTTATAGAATACGAAGATATAATGGATTAACTTTTTCTGTAAGTTAGAAATAGTTTGTGTGTCAACTAGTTAATAAATGTTTCTGTGATTTAGCTTCTTCAAAAGTTGATTTTGACTTATACATAGGGCCTGTTTGGATCCAAAAGCATTTATAGGAGAAAAAATTAAGAATGAAAAATGTAATTAGCTTCTTTATAAGCTAAAACTAACATATGCATAAGTTAAAATTAAGTTTTTGAATTAGCCAATACAAGAGAATTTCTATAATTTAGCTTATGCATAAGCTAATTTCATTTTTCATTCCTAATTTTTTCTCCTATAAGTGCTTTTGGAGAAGTTTACCCAAACAGACTTGTAAACTATATGATAGAAGTTTAATTCATTTTAACTTCTTATTTTCTTCTCTGTCCAAACACAATCTTATTGTTAATTGTTGCTTTTCACTTGTATACATTTAGCTGAAAGATGACCCTATCCTATCAATACAAAATTAAGCTCTTTTTATTATTAATATGGCTATGATCTGTGTATGTGAAACATTGTTAAAATATATATAGCCATGTCCTTGTTGGTTACACAAGTTTCTTTTGACTACTACTACTAATAATAATAAAGAAACAAGAGGAAGATGTTTAATACTAGCTAGAATGAAGTGTATTTGCTGTATATTGTACATGGAAGGAGTTAACAGCTAATTAGGATTTTATTATTCAGGGTTGGACACTTTATGAGATTTTAAGGTATATACCTGAACACAATTGGATTGCCTATGAGCAAGCTCTGAAATCAAACCCAGTTTTAGCTAAAATGGCAATAAGTGGGATTGTCTACTCAATAGGAGACTGGATTGCTCAGGTTTGTTTTTGACACTCAAAAATATGAAATGGTTATCTTGGACATAGAGTTTTAACAGGACTTGAGCTATTTCTAACAAACTATACAGTGCTATGAAGGAAAGCCTATTTTTGAGTTTGATCGGGCACGGTTACTCAGATCGGGTCTTGCTGGGTTTACTCTCCATGGATCTCTTTCTCACTATTACTACCAAATTTGTGAGGTGATTATTGTGCCTGCTTGGGTTGGAACTATTTGGTGATATTCTATGAATGGCTGAAATTTTTGCATGATTTCGCAGGCTCTTTTTCCTTTCCAAGAATGGTGGGTTGTCCCTGCCAAAGTTGCTTTTGACCAAACTGTGTGGTCTGCAATTTGGAACAGCATCTACTTTGTGGTTTTGGGCTTGTTGCGTTTTGAATCTTTGACGAACATATATGGTGAATTGAAGTCAACATTTTTTCCTCTGCTTACTGTAAGAAGCTATTTTATTTGTTTCTTTATGCTGTTTTCAGATGTTAATTGAAAATGTAATTACTTGCCTCATTGCATATATGGATCTAGTGTCATTGTAAGTCATGGAGATGCATCAAAAACATTGTAACAATTGTACCAAGCTAAAAATTGAGCTATATCTACATGGAGTATGTCATACCTTCAGTCTCAAATTTATAATGGTATATGCTTAAACTGTCATAGTGTTGGGTATATGTTAGAGAGGTAACAATTGGAGTGAGCCTAGGAATCATATTTTCAGGTAGCTCCATCCTATCCTCATTCAAAACTTGGGTATAATCTTTGTGTCTTGTTCTTAAACTATGAATTACTTGAATTGTTCTGGTAACTAGTCCTCAAACCTTCCTTATTTCTACATACCAAATTATTTCAAGTTTCAGAGCAGTCTGCATTGCATGTGCCCCATATTTCCTGCTCATGAGCTGAGTAGTATTGTAGTTATGTTTGAAACCTGTGCTTAATGGAAGGCTTTGAAATATGCTCAGTCCCAATGCATTTAGCAAAGTGAACAGATGTTCCTGCTATATGTCCACTGTGGGAATGGCCTTGTTACAAATTGTCCATTTGGTCTTATAGGCACCTAAAAAGGAAAAATTAAAAATTGAAGGAAGGAAGGGGTCAGATAGGAATTCCGTTAACACAACTAAGTACTAGAAATTCGAGGATGAAGAATAGTATGATGAATAAATTGTATATTCTTATCCTCATGTAATTATTTGATTAGAAAACTTTCTTCTGTTTGGACCAACTAAAATCTTTAATATGCTTCACAGGCAGGGTGGAAACTTTGGCCTTTTGCGCATCTGATTACTTATGGTGTGGTTCCTGTGGAACAAAGGCTTCTTTGGGTGGACTGTGTGGAGCTCATCTGGGTCACAATACTTTCAACGTAGGTTTTCTAAGATCATTTGTTATATCATATTAAATTATTACGCACGACTATTTTTGCCATACCAAACGTGTGGATACTGAAGTATCTCATACCATCATGTGAATGATTCTCATTTAAGGATGGATGTTTGACCGTGACATTTTATGCATGGATGCACACTACAAAATATCATTAAAAATTTGTTACATGTAGTCATTGAATTGTCATCAGGATTCTCATCCCTACACAATCTTGTTTTGTTTTTAGCTATTCAAATGAGAAATCAGAAACCCGAATATCTGAGGCAGCATCAGAAACAAGGTCATCCACTTCAAGCAAAAGTTCCAAGGTTAGTAGACTATGTTCTTCCGCTGGGTTGTTTTAAGGTTCCTGGGAAGGGCTGTGATCCTTACCATGAAATGAAGAGAAAAACTGTTGAGCACATTTTAACTTTCATTTTTACTGTTTGTGATATGTTTACTGGGTGTTCAAAAATGTTAAACGAACTAAGCTATATGAAAATTGAACTGAATTGGAAAAATAAATCGTCTAAACTACACTGAACTGAAAAATTATTCGAGTAAATCAAACTGAATAAATGAAATGTGTTTTCAGTTCAGCGAATTGTTTTCTCAAATTCAAACCAAATTGTATTTTGAAATTTGAACTGAGCTGATCTGAAAGGTTTTTTTTTAGCATTGATAAACATAGAAAGTTTAAAAGTAAGAGAATTTTTACCCCTTTATAAAAATAGCTCCTATTTTATATTTCAGTTGGTTTTCAAACAGTTCAATTTGGTTTTTTATAGAAATAGTTCAGTTAGTTTTTTATAAAAATAATTCAGTTCACTTTTACATGCCTACAATTCTCTTTTGTTGGGCAAGATTTGGTAAATCTTTCATCCAAATTGTGATTAAAAATAATACACTATATACACTGTACCTCGTCTATGTTCCAATTAGATGAGTATTCCATCAATGTTCTACTTCATATATTGAGCTAATAACCCTTTATTTCTTTTCATTGTCTCTTACTTGTGTACTACCAGGAATAAACGAATTGAGAACAAGGGAAAAAACTATCTAGGTTCATGGTTGTTACAGAATCAACCACGCAAAAGCTTTTGGTTCCTTACTGAAAATTCGAAGAATCTATGAGTTGAAGGTCCAATTGAGCGACCTTAGAGGAGCGGGGTTGTGATCTGCTACTCATACAGGATATACACTTACAGCATCCTTCCGAATATGATCAACTATTCAGGTTTCAGTGATCAGATACATAGTTGATTGTATATATAATATAAATGCATTTAGAAGAACTATAGTTAAATTATGTTCATTTTCTTGGGGTGTATTGGATTACCTTATATATCCACAATTCTGTATAAAAAGAATATATAGTGCTGGAAAATGTGAAAAATTACGCAACATTCCCTTTGGAATTTTATCTGCCCTCGAGTATTTTTAGGCTTCTCCTTCCCCGGCCATCAATAGATTATTTGCTTTTACATATATATTCGTAACACTGACTTGAATATACTTCAAGCAGAGGAAAATATAAATTTAAAATTTGTTTCATTTTCCCTTCATCAATTGTATTTGAGGATTTTGCAAAACATGGTTTATCAAGTTAACAAATAAGTTTAGAAGATTAAGTTCTTCTGTGATGTATTTAATTCGGGTTAAATTCAAATACCGGTATTTTATTTTTTTTATCAAACTCAAAATTTGATTTAAGATTTTAAAATTTGAAGACTTATTGTAACACCAATTAAATTAATCAACGTTGTTTAAAATTACTTTTGAGAAAGTGAAAATGAATTTATAATAAATAAACGTATAATTTTTTATTTACGAATAAATTCCATCATGAAGCGTGTTTAGAAAATCTCATCACAGAATAAAAACCGTGATTTATATCACTTCACCTAACCTTTACAAATAACATTTTTGTCACAGCCACACTATTGTGCTTTTCGCCAAAATTTTGTGTTATACATTTTTCTTTAAATTTTTAATCAATATTAATTTCATAATGTCATAATTCCACATCAGCATTCAGGCATCCATGCAAAGGATAGACACTTTACTGTGTTAGCATTTAGTTCACATAAACAATACCTTTTCCAACATTTTATTTTTTTAACACTCATTTTACATGGATTGAAATTTATTAAAAATTATAAATTTTTGTAAGTTCTACATCTTACTATTTAATAAGTAATTTAATAGCAGATTTAACTAAAATTTATAATTTTTAATCGATAACAAAAGTATTAACAATAAATATAAGAGAGAGAGAGAGAGAGGGTAGCTAAATTTTCTGAAAATTGAATGTGGTATTAAGACACAAATTGTAGTGTAGAAGTATAACTGTAATAGATTAATTAAAATAGTAAAAATGATGATAAAAAGGGAATAAAAAATGTTAGTGGGATTATTGTCCTTAGGCGTAGCTGTTGGGTTGGGTCGCATCGGTGAAGATCCGAAGTCTCTGCTCTGCAATGGCGAAGATCGAAGAACTGAACGGTTCCTTGGCCAAATCCAGGTCGAAGAGGAATCATGGCTCCACCACATTCTTTGTCTTTGTCGATTACCTTTTCATTTTCATCTTCCTCGGATTCCTCTCCTTCATCGTTTCCAAGATTCTCACCATTTGATTTCATTCCCAAAATCACACACGCATAGGTACGTATCATGCACACCCACTTCTTTTTTTTCTCCAATCGCGCTCACCAACATTTCAATTTTCTTTCTTCAATACGAGATAAGATGCTTCTTCAACTCCTCAAATTTCTAAGTTTTCATTACTTTATATTATTAATGTCAAAAAAAAATAATTAATTATTGACATAAACACTCAGAGAGAGAAATAAGTTATTGATAAAAATAGGTCATACGATGTGGTAAAAAAAATTAAGGATGTTAAGTAGGCGTTTGCATGATTGAGGGGTGTCAGGGAATCAACACTATTAATGTTGTTCGTACTGAATAGATGGGGAAGTATGCTAGAAGTACTGGTATTGAATATCCATGTTTTCAAAGACGAGGATACTGAGTTAAGTAATAAATGTTCACTACTTATTTTTATATACATTTTAGGTTTCTGGTTGATGCTGATTTCTTCTAACATTGTTATTGAATCTCTGCAATCTGCATAAGAGTTTGTAATGCATGTTGGTGTGTATCCCTATATGCTAGTACTTCTACTTTATGCTTCTTACACAAATTCGTGTTATCCTCAATTTTTTTTTATAAGAAATGTTGGCTTGAACTTCAATAACTATAGAATTAATGTCACTTTTGTAACCAAATTTTTAAAATTGCACATTTTTCATATAATTTTTAAAATTTTTACATTTTTGATCATTTTGTTAATTCAATATGTAAGGTTGTTAGTTAATTGCGAATGTGACTTATAGGTTGTTAATGTGTTATATTATATCATATAAATAATTCATACCAACACCAACAATTAACTTATCACATCAAAAGTTATTGTATTATGTTAGCAAATAATCATCGACGTCAAATAATTGAGGTAACAAATATATAACTTTAAAAGTTTGGCAACAAAATTTGTAAAAATTTAAAAAGATAAATGATAAAAAGTACAATTAAGTCATAACTATACAAGGTTGTATTTTTTTTCCTCCAATATGACTATCTGAACTTTGTATTACCATGTCTTTTTGGAGTTATATATTGATGCAACTTTTTACATTACTTTCTGTACGCTTCGTTTTCCTTGGAAAATGATTGACACTTGAAGGAAGAATTGTAAATATGATAAAATGATATGACGTAGATAAAAAGAAATGGAAAATGTTAATAGGATGTTTGAAGAGATAGTGTTTGGGTATCATTACTGATTTTTCTTCCTATCTCTCCCTGTGACATGAATAAGCTTTTTGCACACTTCTCTCCCTTTTAATATGCTCTTTCCTCACCTCCACTTCTTTTGGCAGGAAGTTCGCCTGGCATAACTAGGCTTCCATACACAAACCTAGTTCCAATCTTGAAGGTGGTGGCAACTGACAACTAGCGAGTGTCATTTTTTATCTGATCCTACGATGTAATACTTGAAGTTATCATCTTTCTTAACTTTTGCTCTGGAATTCCAAAAATTGCGCTATTCATTTGACTGTTTATTGTATTTCATTTGTTTGTAGTGTGTTACATTTGATCTTTACACATACCCTTTTTCTCTTTCTTTTTCCTTGACTGAGGTAAAGAAGGATGACAGTTAAAATCAATATCAAAGTACATTGCAGAGATTAAAAACTGATAGTGACAGCAGAGTAATATTTTTTCTCTTTGCCAACTGTTACGTTATTCAAGATGAAATGCTTTGTTCTCGGAGGGGGACCTTGAGATACTGACTAAGTGTTTCTATTTTCTACTTTCTGTTTCTGGTTTGTTTATTGGGGTGGGGTAGAACAGCAGAGATGAGGACCCGAAACCTCTATTTGCCATGCGACAAACTTATAGTAGTTTGGTCTGGTCGCTTGCATATTGATGAGTGATGACACACCAACTTAGCATTTATGTGAGGCATTTCTATCCTCTTGGTAGTTATGTCCTATGATAACATCCTAATAATCATCTGAATACTTGAATAAAAAGATATTATGTGAAATGCAACAACCAATATTTTAAAAACAGAAATTGTAAGATAAAAAAATGTTAGTAATACGCCCTTTAACCAAAAACTATTACATAGTTTCACACCACTATTATTATGATTTTGGTTAATAAAATTGAGTTTTTTAGCAAGATGAAAAACGTGACACTTAATTGAGTTTTTTAATTTATGAAAGAGTAAAATTCAATCATGTGTTGGATGGTAGGCTTGGACCATGTAATAACTTTTCTTCTCTACCATTTTGTAACACATTTTATTATTGGTTAAAATTTATTGAATATTATAAAATTATGAGTGAGGTTTGTTAAATACAAAATAGACTCACAAAATTTATTGGAACATTCTCTCTAACATTACTATTAATTGGAATTTACTGTAGATAACAAATTTTAATGGATTTCACTTTTCATTTAACTGACTCTTTTTTTTTTTAATAATAAAGTTGAGAAAAAAATTAACATGGTATAAGTATTTGAAAGATGGTTAGGAGGACATAGACTTATTCTAACTGGAATCTCTACTTCATGAATGGCATCTTTTGAATTTAAGGTGAGGGGTTACTATATTTCCATGTAGGATTTATTATTTTTGCATGTCTACACAATATTTATGCTGTTTAAGACCTTATTCATGCATTAGCTTGTGAGGGTAGTGGTGAACCATATTACCATTATTTAATAAATTCCGTGCAAAAAATAGTGAAACTAGAAGAACTTTTATTCCGAGCAAATGTTCTTAGTTTTAAATAAGCTCCCCCTAACAAGTGTAACAAGATATTGGTTCAGGAACCAATAAATAGAAAAGTTTCATTACAAATCATAATAGGATATAGAAACTACATATAGGTATATTATTAACTTATTCTCTTTTTTTTTTTTTACTTTTGATTTCTTTACCGGTACTTTAAGCACTTAACTCATTATTTCTTATTTATAATGAGGCACTAGCAATTAAAATTGAAGAGTTATGATTAATGATTGAGGGCCGAGTAATACAACCATCAGTACAGCATGCTTAATTCATTTTAAACAAGAGCAGAGCAGAAAGGCTTTGCATATTATATAGCAGACAATGTAGACAGAACTTATTCACTAGTACAAGCACTTCAGTATTTCAAAAGCATAGCAGGCTTTGAAACTACTCCTTATAACTAGTTCAATCATGCATAATGCAAGATGGCTCATGACTAAGAGGACTCACAGATGAACTGGAGTTGGAAGTCCACCACCACTGGCAGGGCTTGGAACCCCAAAACCAGGATTTGGGACCCCAAAACCAGGGTTTGGGACCCCAAAACCAGGGTTTGGGACAGACACACCACCTGTTGATCCTGACCCTATTCCACCACTACCACCAGTGTCTGGATTTTGAGGTGTAAAACCAGAGAAAGGAGGATATCCTACTCTCCCAATGCCTGGAATATAGACACTGCCATCAGAGGAGGAAAAAAACTGAGGTTCTTTCTTGTCCCGAGTGTTTGAGTTCTTTGGACTAATGTGGCGTCCAGAAACTTGCCATGTAGTGGCAAGAAGGATGGTGGAGATGAGAAGAAGTGCAAGGAAAGGGGAAGGTTTGTAAGCCATTATGTGAAGAGATTTTGACTGAGATGTGTTTGTGTTGAATGTGAAAGGGAGTGACTGCGTTTTATAGACAATGATTCTTATGCATCGTAAAAAGTGATCATATGGTGAATGGTAGTTGATCATGGCAATGCCAGTGAGTTTTTTTGGTAGTTGATCATTCGTGATTCAGACAATGGTAAAAAAGTGATATTTAGCCTCACTTTTATTACCCTTCTATTTGTGGAATTTACTCACCAATTTGATGGCGGCTATTAAATGGAGCCTTCACATGGCTTATTTATGGACCGGCATATTCATATATGAACAGTACTTGTTGGAATTGCTTGTAGTAGCTTCGTTATTTGCGTTGTCTCATTATTTAGATTAGGGTCGATTTGTGTGTTAAAGACTCTGCAAATGAAGTGGTGGATTTTAATTCTCTAATAACTTGCATTTAAATCGTTTAGTTAAGTAAGAACAGCTTCTGCAAACGGGGAAAAAGAGTAATGCGCATTAATTGCATGGTTCAAAAGCACGAGGTCAACCAAGAATGGGTTCCACAAATATCCCTGTCAATCTGGGCCCAAATTTGAAATGATTAAATTATAGACAATATAGCTTACATGAGCAGGATTTAAGCTTAAGTGAAAAAAACCACTTAATCACCTAAGAAGTGTTATTTCTTCTAGTCTAGAATTCAATACAGCTCATTTGTTTTTGGGAAAATGTTTTAAAACCCTGTTAATATGATTAAATTTAATTTTCAAAAAAGTTGTGAATTTTAATATTTAAAAATTTCCACAAAAAAAAAAAAAACTCTATCATTACTCATTAATTGTGTGACTTATATACATATAATATGTTATGTTACATAAAACTTCAAAATATCACTTATTCGACATGTTTAGGTGCATGTTGGATCACCACTAAAAATCTATTTAAACACACAACATAATCGGTAATTTATTGAATAAAGTTTGTTATGCTAATACTTATGCATTCTATAATTGAAAAAAAATGGATTAAAATGTTTTCATAAAAATTATAAGTTGATTTCACAAGTTATCCTGAAAATTTTATTGAAATAAATTGGAAATAACTTATCAAAATAAAATAAATAAATTATTTTCTTAAACTCTCCTAAATATGTACACAAATACTTACGTCTTAAAATAAATCTAAATAAACTTCCAATTAAATCCAATTAAAAAGTACTTAAAAAATATAGAAATTAAAACTTTTTTTTTAAATAAACTAAAAATATATTTAAGTTTTCTCTTTTTCTTGTTATTTTTTTATCATGGTGAACCTCTCAACATACCCAATCTTGCCTCTAATTAATTCACAATACTTAATCTTGCCTCTTCAAATTTCACAGATGGAGTTCATTTGTGTGCAAAACAG